AGGAACTATCAACAGGGCAAACAGACAACCTACAGAATGGGAGAAAATATTTGCATACTATATATACTATAAAGGGCTAATAACCAAAATCTATAAATTACTCAAGCAAAAAAACAAGAAAAAAATTAAAAAATACCATTAAAAAGTGGGTAAAAGGGCCTGGAACAGTGACTCATACCTGTAATCCTAGCACTCTGGGAGGCTGAGGTGGGTTGATTGTTTGTGCTCAGGAGTTCGAGACCAGCCTAAGCAAGAGCGAGACCCCTTCTTTACTAAAAATAGAAATAAATTAACTGGACAACTAAAAACATATAGAAAAAAAAATTAGCTGGGCAGGTGGCGCATGTCTGTAGTCCTAGGTATTCAGGAGGCTGAGGCAGGAGGATCGCTTGAGCCCAAGAGTTTAAGGTTGCTGTGAGCTAGGCTGACATCACAGCACTCTAGCCCTGGCCAAAGAGTGAGACCCTATCTCAAAAAAAAAAAAAAAAAAAGTGGGTAAAAGACATGAACAGAAGCTTTTCAAAAGATGATAGACTAATGGCCAATAAACATATGAAAAAAATGCTCAACATCTCTAATCATCAGGGAAATGCAAATCAAAACCACAATGAGATATCACCTAACTCCAGTGAGAATGGTTTTTATCAAAAAGTCCCAAAACAACACATGCTGGTGTGGATGCAACGGAAAGGAACACTTATACACTGTTTGTGGGACTGCAGATTAGTACAACCTACATGGAAAATAGTATGGAGATTCCTCAAAGAACTAAGAGTAGACCTATCATTTGATCCAGCAACCCCAATACTTGGTACCTACCCAAAGGAAAAGAAGTCTTTCTATCAAACAGGCACCTGCACTCGAATGTTTATTGCAGCACAATTCACAATCACAAAGATGAGGAATCAACCCAAGTGTCCATCAGTTCATGAGTGGATTAACAAAATGTGGTATATGTATACCATGGAGTACTACTCAGCCATAAGAAAAAATGATAAATTAGTACCTATTGTAACATCCTGGATGGAACTGGAGACCATTCTTCTAAATGAAGTATTGCAAGAATGGAAAAACAAACACCACATGCACTCACTATTAAATTGAATTAACTGATCAGTACTCATTAGCACATACAGAATTAAAACTCAAAGGAAATCAAGCACGTGGGAAGGGGGTACAGGGGATGGGTGAAATCACACCTAATGGGCACAATGTACACTACCTGGGTGATGGGCACACTTATGGTTTGCCTCAAGCTATACAAAAGCAATCCATGTAACCAAAACATTTGTACCCCCATAATATTCTGGGAAAAAGAAGTTTGGTTTCTACCTTGCAGCAATGGATAAAAAGAATCCTACTTCTAAGCTTTCTGAGTACTCACTACTTAAACATATTTTGTATAATTGCTATTGAAAGAAAATGTCAAAAGTTTCTAAGATAAGTGCTCACATCTGTTTATCTCTTTTATGTTTTAGAAAATAAGGTAGAGTCCAGAAAAACTACTGCTTTCTTTCTTTCTACCTCTGATAGCCCTGAATAAAGCTCCCAACCATAGTAGATGCTCAGTGTATACAAGTATGTGTCTTAAAATACAATGATTGCAAAATGTGGCAATAGGACAACAAAGAAAAGGGAATCGATAACTAATTCGCAAACAAGAGTATGTTAGCCAGATGTTATTTGTGTTATGAATTAGCAATTGCTTATATTATATGCTTAACATAACATCAGTGGGAAACACATGGAACTAAAGAACACATTGCACAAGATGCTGTTTTGCTGAACTTTTGCAAAATACTTTCTGGCCTTATGCAAGTACTTGAAATTTCTAGTTAGAAATTAAAATTTGGCAGGATGATTATTCAGTGGGACTCTGGAATTCCTTCTTTGCAGATATTTAAGGAAACTACCATGATTATTTGTATAATTTTTCAATTTCTGTAGTTGTCTCTTCTACATTGAAAAGATAATCAAGGAAAATATTTCATATACGATCTCTCTTTACATATGTCTCACTCTGTACACAATCCTTATCCCAGCCAACGCATTTTTTTTTCATTTGTTTTTTCCTAGTTAAAAACTGTCATTGTAGTACTATGGCAAGTTCCCTACAAGTTATATTAACATCATTCAGGGTCACAACCTGCTCCTCCATTTTTTATAAATCAGTTCTTCCACTACCAAATGCTTTTTCCAAAAAAGAATGAAATGTCTCTTTAAATGACAGGACACAAATTAGCTAATTAAAGAAAAAAGCAGGTGGACTGTGGCCACTGCCACTGAGTTGGAACTGAAGGAGAAGGATAAATCAGTTTTCTTTTCTCAAGGATTGTTCTCTGTTTCCCTTTGGTCTTCTCTGTTCCTGTCCACTACATCATGGCTGTTAGCCTTGGGCCAGGAAGGCTATAAAATGAAGGAATGACCATCAAGTAAAATCAGCTAGAAAGGAATTTAGATGAGGCTGTTTGGTGACTTGACTGGACATTTCCATGCATCTCTGAACCAGCAAGGAAGAACTGTAGCAGTGACAAAGGTTTTACAATCACCTGGTCTAATTCCACTTGACTGAAAGTGTGCAAGGTACCAACCCAAGACTGCATGCAAATGAAATGCACAACTCACATCAATCTGAAGTAACTTTGCATACTCTCTCTTTTGCATAGGTCAGACCACATACAGAAAATTTCTTTCTCTTCTTTTTGTGTATGTGTTGATAGACTACCATGGTTCATAAAAGAATTAGCAAGATAACAAGGGTTTTAGAAACCCAAAGAAAACTAGACAATTACTTTTAGGTGTTTGAAAACTGTCATATGCAATGGAAGTTAATTTATTAAATATTTTCTCCAGAGACAAGATATGAATAGAAATTATGAAGAGATAGACTTTGACTTAAATTTTAATTTAAGAGGTAGAATTTTCTAATAATGAGTTAAATTACTAAAGAAATTTCCTCTGAGTGTTCAAACAGAGATTGAATGATCATTAAAAGAAATAAGAAAATGGAAATCATAGAATCTTCTTATATTTACAGGGGGTTGAATTAGCTACATCTTCCAACTCTGATCTTTTAATTTTTTATTCTTTCCTTTTCTTCAGTATTGTCATACATGGCAGTATCTCATACATGGTGTCACCATTACAAATTTCTTGTTTAAAATAATGAAGAGAAATTTCTTGAGGAAATGTCACTGATTCTATTGGAAGAATTTCAAATTTTATTAATTGTTATTGTGGAAAGCTGTGAATTAAAAACATAATTGTAGAACCTCTTTCTGATCAATGTGAGAGTGTTGATTTTAGGGAAACAGTAAGGAGGGATTGGCAAAGAGAATATCCCTCCCTGGGGCATACAAACTCACCTTCATTGTTCTGCAATATTTTTGATTCTTCCAATTTATGTGTGCATTTGAATGAATAAACTCAATGAAAATTTTGGATTGCATAATTAATTTAACTTATATCAAATAGTGCATGCTATTTTAATAAATGGAAACATAAAAATTTTTCTAAAGTTTAATGAGTGGGTGGCTTCTCTCTTCTCTGAAAGACTAAAAGAATAATAAAATCATTTCTTAGGTATGAGCTGCATCTTTTTTTCTCTAAAGAATTCAAGCCATTTGTTTTTAGATGACAATATTTTTTTCTTTCTCAACTATCACTGCCCTTATATGCTTATTTCTTAGATACTTGTTTATAATTCATTTTTAAATATGTAGATTGAATTTGTATTGGATTATGAGATTTTACAAATAAATTGGAATAGTAATATTGAATCAATCTCTCTCCCTTTAAGCAATCATTCCTAAATATATATTTTTTTTCCAAAGGGGGAAATACCACATCTTTTGCTAAATATGTAATTTATTATCATTAATACAGCCTCAATCTGATCTGATTATGTAAGGAGAATACTAATCAAGTAGATAAACTGTAGAATGTATGTGAAAACAAGCCAGCTGTGATAGCATTTCTGATTTAATCTTTATTTTGATATTTTCCTCTGCCCCCCACCCTCCATGTCAGGCAACTCATTCACCTTACATTCACTGCATTCATATAAACAATAAGTAGAGAGGACAATATTGGATGTGGAAAAAGACATTAAAAATGAATATACATGTTTAAACAGAATTTCTTGGCAATTTTTTTTTTAGTGACATTACCAAATAAATAAAGCAGTGAAAAGTCAATTATATGTATTTTAGAGCCTAATTTTTTGGCATTTCTGGACCTAAAGTATCAGATAAAGAATTTGGGGGGAAATGTAAAATTTAAGATAACTTGTCATAAAAATCAAACTGGCACGTACCCATTCAAAACTGTGAAAGGATGAAGAGGCCATTAATGTTCATTGAGCATCTATTATGTGCCAGACTCTTAGCAGAGACTATTTCATTTTGAGCCTAATAACCCTCTGAAGTAAATTTGATCATCCCTGTTCATTCAGCGGAGGAAAATTAAGCCCCAATAAGTTAAAAAATTTGCTCAAGGCCACATATCTGGTAAGTTATAGTCATATTCAACATTCAAACCCAAGACCCCTCATTTCTACAGCCTGTGTAGGGGCTGTAGAAGTATGTAAATCTTGTCACTAAATAGGCTTACAAACAAATGCTAAATGGTGTAATTGCAGGGGTGTGTCTTGGCCCGTTTGGGGAACACCACTTGACCCATTTCCACTTACCACACGGGGCTATTATGACATGTGGGTACAAAAATAGATTGGAAGCCACTTTGAAATTTCTTACTTGATAAGAGTGTAATGTAAATACTCACTCTGAGGATTCTAATAATGCCTAGTTATTAGTTATCACTGCAGCCATGCATCATCTACTGTGATTTGAAGGGCAGTCTGTGTATCTTTGTGTAAATGCTGCGGGTGGTGGATAGGTAGGAGCTGAACACCAGCAAGAGCTGAAGAGATCTACTCTGAAGAAACATACGGAATAAAGCAGGCTCTGCATACCGCTTCTTCAGCCTAACCAAGTACTCACTCTGCAAGCAGTCGGCATTTAGGAGGTCCTGGCACTTTTCATGGCACTTCACTCCACACTCCAAACACTTCATGCCTTGCCGAGCAATGCCCCACAGAAGTCCTTCACACTCGTAGCAGTAGGTGGGCGTGGTAGCTGTCCAGACCTCAAAATTGTGTGGTGTGGTGGAGGACATGGGGTAGATCAGTGCCTGCAAGGTCTTCTTGAAGACGTGCATTTTCTGTGAAGATGTGACAAGTTACCAATGCAAGCCTAGTCAGTGGACCTGGAGAATTTTGACATAAAACCAACCATTTTTTTCACTCTTCCCCGAAAATGCTATTTTGAGGGAGCCCCTTGATCACTGAGTGTCGACAGCAAGCACAATAGCTCTGCTGACTTATACTCTTCTCTTAATGTTTTAGGGCCCAATGCAATTATTTGAACGCAAGAAACTCCCGAATCTTCCAGATTGAACTGGTCTTTATGGTCATGCAGCTTCTTTTATGGCAGCATACAGTTCTAATTATCTGATAATGTTAATGTTCCTGCTATAGTCTCAGCTCCAACCGTCTGTCTTTTGCATTCTACCCAGGCCATCCCTGACACTGCACCCCTCCCCAGCCACAAGGAATGGTTTTCTGTAATTCATTCTGCAGGAAACTGCTTTCAACATCTATCACTTAGGAAGCATCTCATCAACTTATTCATAAGAAAGCATTGGTAGTAGATAAAGGTTAAATGAGACACTTTCCCAAGGTGATTTGTATTTCAAAGGGAGATAATTTTTAATAGCACATGGAAGGACTTCCTAATGATGAGCTATTAGGGAAACAGAAAAATCCAACAGTAGCCAGGAGACCTGTGTTCGCTAACATAGCCCTGGTCACATGATATTTAAAATGGGCTTCTTTGGACAGGAACTATCTTCCATCTTTCTCTCTTTAGTACCTAGACCAGGGGTCCCCAAACTTTCAAAACAGGGGGCCATTTCACTGTCCCTCAGACCGTTGGAGGGCCGGACTATAGTTTTAAAAAAACTATGAAACAAATTCCTATGCACACTGCACATATCTTATTTTCAAGTAAAAAATCAAATGGGCAAAAACACCCGCATGTGGCCCACAGGCCGTAGTTTGAGGACACCTGACCTAAACAGTACTTCTCATTGTCCCTTCCTTGCACATAGTAGAAATATACATTTTTTAAAAAAAATAAATAAACATCTCACCATTTATGAGTTTTATAATCCACAGACAGATGCAAAGTCTCTAAGACTCACTTTTCTTCTCTACTTATCTTAATGGTATTGTTTTAAAGATCAAATCATATAATGATAACAAAAGTAGTCTATAGACTTCAAAATCCTAAATGAATACTAAGTATTGGTATTGATAGTGGATTTTCAAAAAACAAACATAAGTTGATAGAAAAGAGAATTGATTGGATAAGTCCTTCTCTATGCTTCTGAGAGAAAGACCAGCACTCTCCAAAGTTATGCTTACAGATAATTTTCCAAAACCACCTGATGTATAATGAATGGATATTTACACAAATCCTGTAGGAGCCTAGATGTTAAGTAATACCAGAAGGGAAGCATTTATATTTTGTATTAATTATTCTTAAATATCATTTCAGAGTATCTTCCCACAGTATTGAAATGACCAACTTTCCATTAGTTTTCAATTCCACAATAGGATAACAACCTATTTCCCTTTATTCATACATTCCCCTCACCATGTGTTTTCCCAGAATATGTTTGGTCATGGCACTGGGAGGTCCTCTATCAACCTTGCTTAAAATTTTTCTAACTTTGAACAGCTAGATCCATCTACTATATGAGGGTCTCATCAACCCAAAGCTCTTTATACTTAAGTGAGTCTGCAGAGCAGCAGTATGGTCAAATATGGGCATCACTCAAGTGGAAGACCCTTGTATATGGGTTTATACAGAAAGAATGACTGGATCCATCACTTTTCAATAAAGATAGCCTGAGACAAGTAAATCTCTTGGCTTCATTTTGTAATGAAGATGTCTTGAAAGGAACTGTTGAGAGATCTTTGAGAATTAGGAGCATGTATTATTCATCTCTGCCTCTCCTATAATGCTAAGCATAGTGAATATCTCCAATATCATTAAAGTGAACTAAATGATCTTTGGCATAAGAGATTTTTTATTAGCCATCCATAGATAAGAATCTTCCATTCTAGCTGGGCTAAGAGGCTTCAGAATGCGTGTGTGTGTGTGTGTGTGTGTGTGTTTGTATTCAATATAGCATTTGTGATCTAGCTGAATACTAAGGAGGGAATTGAGTTATATGTACTTGCAATTGTATTAGGCAATTTGTTGTTTGTCTTAATGAGGGAAATAACCATTATTTTAATTAAATGGAATACTAGGTAAGAACAGAACAGAGTATGCTAATGAACACAAGAAAAGTAAGAGATATATTGTATATAAATTTAGATAGTGGAATAGGGCAAGGGGTTATTTTTGAACATGGTCTTATTCATATAATTCAAGATTAAGTAAAAGATTAATATATTTTATCTAATTCCCTATGTCTACTTTCTTTTTATTGAATTCAACTGATATATAGTCAGTCCTGTAAGTTCTTAGGTTATAGGAGTAATAAACTTAAGCAACACTTGCTAAAAATTTTTAAACATACTAGAGGAAAATAAATAAACGTTCTAAATAGACAGTCAAGAAGGTTTCATTGAAATGTTCAGTTTGGTTTTGTTTTGTTAAAGAGCCATAATCCATTCCATGCAAAGGGACAGTAAAGCTAATTTCAAAAAACAAACAACATGGAAAATGTACCAGACAACATATTGAAAATCAATTGAATGAGAACTTAATACAAATTCTAATATTTAAAAACAATTTAAAGCTGGAGGAAAAAACATTAGATAACTTACTAGAGAGGATATACCCCTAGTCCCAGGGAAATGATATAATCCCTTTACATTCTTGACTTTTGGGATATGGGCATGTGTTTATCAAACAAAATTATTAGAAGGACAGAGAATGTGGACCTTTTGTGGAATAAGGCAAAAAGAGCAGAAAGCAACAAATAAAAGTACAGCAGACAAAAACAAGGAGAAACCCTAAAATGTGCCATAGATCATGACAAATGGAAGTCAGTAGTTTACCATTAGAAATTAAAGAGGAGAAAATACTTTTTTTTTTTAATGTAGCACTTAGAGCAGGCAGAGAGAGAATTAGCTACAGCTAGTAACTGAAGAGAAAGGGTGGGATTGAGTATGTTATCAAGAGAGGGTCTATGGCTTATGTGAACAATTTAGAACCAGACCCATGGAGGGAGTATGCCCAAGAGCAAGCAGAACCCTAATTACTGGGGTTAAGACCCAAGGACAGAGAGATTTGGCAAAATGGGTGACTTGCTGCTAATCTATTTTAAATGTTTCTAAGCTTTTCAAATCTTCTAAAACAAATATATATTATTTTCTAAAACTGTGTATTTTAAGATTATAATAAAGTACATACTAAGTGTAAAAATAATTTGTAAAACAGAAAGACACCAATATAAAAATTTTAAACATTATTTAATTTAACTTTTTAAAGTTAGGCATGATTCAGTAATATATCCTTGCAACATTTTTTTCTACGTATAAACAGCATGTGAGACTTCCGCAAATTAGGATTTTTTAAAATCATTATTTTTACACTGCTTAACTAATTCCAACAAAGATGCCGATCTTTAGTGTGTGCAGACATTGTTTTAAGCTGTAGAAATGAGAGTAAGGAATGCCTTCACTTTCTGAAAAGCCTGTATACACAAGTACAACCTGTAGACTACAAAAGGGAAGATGCTCATATCCTAGGCTGGACAAATATTTTGTTCAATATTCCTGCTCTAAAAAATAAATCTAGAGTGAGCTGCACTAATATATCGCTGTTTGAACAATTAGGACACTGGAAGGAAATGAATTGACTATTTGTAACTACCTGAGGAAACGAAAACATGACTGAGAAATAAAGCAATCGGGCATCCTGCCAAGAGCAATGACTAGTGTTTTTCAACCATCAATATTCTAATCTACCAACTGTTAGTAATTATAGCAGGAACAAATCTTGTCTGCCTCCATTTGCCATATTCTTTCTTTCTTTTTTCCTTCATATGTTAACTGGGGACTAAACTAGTGAAGCTCTATTTTCCTCATCATTCTGTGAGTTTCCCTCATGAGATTAGGTAAACTACCCCTTTTCTATACGCCAAATATTATATTTTGATAATTTTAAGAAATTATGCTTGTTTTGAAGCTTTTTCATGCACTTGATATATACTTTTTAGGGAAAAAAGTATTTACTATGCTGTTAAGTATATATTTTATTGTTTCTAGACAAAAGCATTAGAAATATTTGCAGAGCAAATACTAGGTACGATGTAATGTTTGAAATTTGTTAGAAACATGAAGACAGAACAATAGTAGACTAAGTTCCTGGGTAGAAAACCAGACATAGTTTCAGTGCTGTTTTATTCATCAGCGTAATCATCATGTCAGATTGACTACAGAAGCTACAATTATTCAGGTAAATTTTTTTTTTTTTGTAGCAGAAAGTATAGAGAATAAAATTTATGTGCTTGTCCCTGTAAGAATGTAAGTAATTTGCTTTTACTTCTGTTGTTTTATAACAGATACTAATTAACATTGTCCTAAGTAACTTATGGGGTGAGTCCAAATAAAGAGGACAGAACAATGATAAATTGGATGATTCATTAATCCAAGGAGAGGACAATATAGGATACACCCTCCTTTATGATGCGGCACATAATCTAAAAACAAAGTATGATAGATTTTTCATGTAATAAATGTCATTTTTTTCCTCCAATTCAAACTTTCAATGAAAATGCATATATAAATGGAGGAGGTGTTATGAAATAACTAATTTGCTAAATATGAGGCCAAAAATGGCACAAATTTCTCCATGAGGGGAAATTTCAGCCATTGTAATGCAGAAAGTCTATAATTTGTCTACATCCATACCACCCTGAATGTGCCTGATATCAGAAGCTAAGCAGGGCTGGGCCTGGTTACTACTTAGTACTTGGATGGGAGAAAGTCTATAATTTTTGCCACTTGAGGTGGAGACTGAGATTTTATATTAATATATCTTTTGACAGAGGCCATGAATGAGTAGGTCTCTTTTATATCCTGAAAGGGTTACTATTCCTGAGCAGGAACCCAGAGTACCTGGGTGTGCTGTGAGCTTGCAGCCCTGACTCAACTCTCAGTAGTAGACAGGTGTTCTGAGCAGCATTGTCCTTCCATGTTATTTTTCTAGTGTCGTGCTAGGAATAGGGCTGGAGTCTGATCTTCCAATTACTCCCTTACCTAGTTCTTTCTGGTCCCTTTCGCTGTGCCTGAATCCTGCTATTGGAAGAAGGACCCCACCACTCTCCTGGAAAAACTTCCCCTTACTGAAAATTGACACTTCCTGGAAGGCTGCCATTAGACCACCTCCCTTAACACGCCCATTAACCCAGATAGAACAAACAGTGCTCTCAAATCCCTTTTAGGCTTGGCAATTTGGATTACGCCCTCTACCTGAGTTTCCCACAGCCCTCAGCTGAGACTATCTTGTTTTAAACACTCCTGCCTACTAAAAGGTTCCATTATGACTTGTAGCAACACTGGCTACTTAACTAAATATCTCGGCCCCTCCCACCACAATCTTACAAGCCTTATGAAGGCAGGAATTTTTAGCTGAGTTGTTCACTGCTTCATTTCCTGTCTGAAACGATGCCTGACACATAGAAGGTAGTCAACAAGTATGTGTTAAATTATCGAATGTATCCACTTTGACTTGCTGTTGGGTCCACACCAAGGAAAGTATTACTCTGTGAAAGCAAGCACCAAGATAGATAGGAGAGTGCCAGACAGACTGCTGTGGTGTAAGGATACTAGACTGGTTATTACTTTCTGTATAATTAAGCCATATGGAACATTTCAGAAACCACGGTTCTTAATGGCTGATTAGGCTGAGGTTCCCAATCAGTGTCAATAGCTCCTCGTGGGTGAGCTGGAACTGCTGATGGATGGGGCGTCTGGCATCCCTCTGCCAACAGTGTGCTCATGGAGGCAGAGCTGGCTGACTCACTGCCTCCTGGTGTCAGGTGTTAGAGCCCAAAGCTTCCCTGGAAGAGATGACCGAGCTCTTTCCTATACATCTCTTTAATTAAAATAGAAGCACTACCATTTGATATTTCCCACATCACCAAGCCACTTTCCTTCCTGTGAAGGCAAATACTTCATGCTTTCACATCGAGGGTGCCTAGGAAGGCTTTCGGCACCAAGGACTGGAAATTATTTGCTTCGGCATTTATGTTAGTTGCCCATGTAATGACTTAATGCGACAGCTTGTCAAGGGTGATATTTAATATGCCTGCTGTACAGAAGTCATAGTTCGTTTGCTTTTTGAGACATGGGCCCCGGGGAAATGGGCTTTTCAAATTTGAGAGGGAGCTGATGGGCTCTGTTCATCCATCCAACGCCAACACAGAAAAGTCTTTTACTTGGCATTCTGAAATTAAAGGAGTAAAGTGATATTTTAAGTTGCTAAAAAGCAGATCAATAGCTAATTTAACCATAAAGGGAGGATGTGTTCCCTGTTCAGGACCTCAGAAAACATAGCAGCATTCTACTAATTTCTATGGCTTTCCTGCTAACTTTTCATAGAAATAAGTATTCACAGTTCAAATTAAATATCATGTTTTAAAACATAAGAAAGATACAGTGCAGGAGTTTGTCAATAAAAAATCTTTCAGCCTTGACAATTTCCTCAAAAGAAATAGATTGGACGCTTTGAGATTCAGCAAGCAATATGGGGCTTTCTCATATACCAGAGGGTGTCTCTACTTTCTCTTATATCCAGACGATACTCAAAATATTACACTGAATCATAAATCTAATAGATAAGAATAAGGCACTAGGAATGCAGTCACATTTTTTAAAATGCTATAGCACAACTGAAAATGTACTAGCTTGCTGTGGTCTCCAGATACCCAAATGGGCATGTATTGTTTTACTGACATGTATTGGGGTGGGGGCAGACTGCTAATAGAAAAACCTAGGAAAGGTTGACTTTGGGGTGGAAGATGACAATGACAGAAAGAAGAGAATGAGAAATATAAACATAAATAATAGTTTGTAAATGCCAAGTGCATAGAATGTTATAGTAATGTAATACTTTTGGTAGAATTTTTATTCTGTAAGAATGACAAAGTTGCTCAAATTGAGAGAGGTAGGATATATTAGGTCCCATAAGGGGGGGCACAGATAAATTATTCTGAGTAAATCCCCAGCTGAGTGTGCCAAAACAGAGCTACCACAGCACAACACTGAAGGCACAAACACTGGGAGTTAAAAAAAACAAAACACAAAAAACAAACTTGTAAACCCAAGTTATACCTGAAGCCAATCAAATCAGAATTGCTGAGCCTGAGACCCCAGCCCCAAAATTTTAAAGCTCCCTCAGGTGTTCTAAATGAGCCAAATGTAAGAACCCCTGACCTAGATATCTGCAGCCTACTTGCATCTTCTACTCAGCCTATTTCTCTCATTCAACAAGAATTTACAAAGCCTCTACCTAATGCTGGACGGTATGCTAAGCAATGGTGATCAAAACTGTTAACAAGAATGAAAAACAAGCTATAGTGCTACCCTCAAGTATATCAGAGTTTAAAAGAAAAGGTTTATCATGCAAAATAAGTTAATTTTAATAACAAAACAAAAACAAAAACTCATACATTGTTTACTATGCCCTAGGCTATGATGAATGTTAAGTGTATGTCTACTCTGTCATCCTCTCAGTTTTATTATTAACTCACTTTATAGATGAGGGAACTCAGACTCAGAGAAGTTATATAACTCACCAGCTATAATAATGCTAATTAAGTGGCACAGGTGGGATTCATACCAAGTGGACTTCACTTTTAATCATACTACACTGTGGAGGTCATGATTAAATGCTAGAAAAGCCCAGAGGAGGAAACTAATAATTCAACTGGAAGTAGAGAAGGGTGTTTGGGGAAAGCCTCATGAAAGAGGCAAAACTTAAATTATGTAAAATATAAGTAGGATTTTTCCAAGGGGAGAATAACAGGTAAGCTATGTTAGGACAGAAAGCCTTTCTAAAGATGAGAAGGTGTATACATGTTTGAGGAGCAGAGGATGATTTGATAGTGAAGTTGGTGCCCTAAGGAAGTTTGTTTGGGATCTGGCTTTCCCTATGCTCCCACTTATTCCTGGAACGTTGGAATAAACATTACAGGCAAGCAGCTCAAGCAGAAAGGTTTTCCTCTTGTGACTATGATCAATACATAGTTAGTGACTGACACTGCACCTACCAGTTCCTCATTGTTTAGTGATGTCCTAATCACCATAGCCAGGGAGAGTCCAGATTTCCGGGCAGCCAAAGTCTAAAACAAATAGAATTATGACTTATTAATACATGGAGAGGTTGCCATGTAGATAATGCTCAGCAGAAAGTAAAAAATGTAAGAATATTGGTTATCATTGGTTCATGTTTTAGTTAATAGGGGCCTGCCATTTTCAGCAATCAGCCAGTTCATCTGGAACATGGAATCTTAGAGCATTAAAACTGGAAAAGATCCCATAGATCATTGAACCTAACCCCTACATTTTATAGGTGATGAAATTGAGGCCCAGCAAGGCAAGATGACCAGCCCAAGGTTACCACAGTAGCAAGAGTCTCCTAAGGATTTTGTTATTCTTCATGGTGGTCATGATCACATTTTTCCTCCATAAAACATGACCATTGATACAAAGCCATCTTGACTTTGGTGAAACTCCTGAATTATAATTGGTGTTAGATGGTTCTTGAGTTGTTCACAGTTCTCTAGAATGTTCTTCCATATCTAGTCAGGATATTTTCTTCCAAGTGTTCATTTTATCTACTGAGAATCATTATATCTGGATTCATTTGCTTCACTTAATGCTGGTAATTTAGGTAATCTTAAATAAGATTGAAGTCCCTTTAGTTTCCATACCTATAAAATAGAACCATCATCACCTGTTCCTACTTACAACATATGCAATACAGTAAAGTTGACAGTGCTGTAGAGAATTTTGGAAGTCAGAAGTTCCATATGGTAATATTAAATCTGATATCCCATTAGGATGAAAGGGACGTTATAGTGGAATAATGCGTTCCTGATCACCTTTTGCCCCATCTGGTAACACAAATATCTCCTCAGGGCAAAAAAGTCATGCACTCAGATAGAATTCAGCACATACCTGAGGAAGGATGTCATTCTCCACTCATCTCTACCCTACCATGTGAACCTATAGACAGCTTATCTCCAAGGGTTTACCCAAGATAATTATCTATCTCTGACAAATATCATCCCCAAAATTTTGTCTGTTTTCGTACCTGTTGTGTACATAATTTGGTCTTCCAGAATTGAACTAAATGTTAAATTCTTGGAGAACCCAAGCTGTTTATTCTTATATGTCTCTGTCTTTTCATCTTCCCATCTTGCCCTCTTTTACCCCATGAATAAGTGCAGTGCATGTTTGAGAAGACTGGCAAATATTAATTAGATCAATTGAAAGCACTTACCATAGCCTGAAGATTCCAGGAATGAGAGGAAACAAAGTATAAATCATTAGACATATGAGAGGTAAGAGAAGAATATAACAATGTTAGACTAGCTTAACACTTTAAAATAATGTCCACGCCACAATGACAGGAATCTGAGCTAATTGCACAGACATGTCATGCTCTCCAGTATAAGATCTTTTCAGTCAAGATCATATTTTAAAACCAAAGTGATAGTCTTCAGATGAAGGTTTCCTTAGCAAAATTAAAAACTACATCAAAAAATGACACACATTGTTGCAAAAAGGGGAATCCATGTTTCTCTGGGAGAAAATACATTTTTCTTATCATATACTATTAAAATATGCCTATAAAAATATGAAGACATTTTGGATGACAGAAGCCACTTTTTTGCATGCTTATGGGATATGTTATTTTTTACAGTTTAATACAGACCACTATCAATTCTTTGCCTTTCTAAGTGGTCTCAGCATATTTCATTATAGGAGAGTGATTTATTCAGAGTCATGATCAGGAATAATAAAGATTTTAATGACTTGGAAGCCATGGTTTTCTTTAGATAGTAGGAGACCTTATTAATTTGGCTAGAATTGACATTAATAGAATAAAGAATTGATTAATATTATCTGTTTGCTTTCTGAAGTATTCAAGTCTAGTGGGTGAAGGCAAAGAAGTTCAAACGGAGCCTTAAACTTTGCAAATTAAACTTGTGGTCATTCATAACGCTGAACACATCAAAGCCTAGCTGCAGAAGCTTGCTTGGCATGCTGTGTAATTTCCTTTTGCTCAATTATAGGGTCATTTTAACCCAATTTGTAACTTCAACTCACATCAAAAGCTGTCAAAAGGTCAGAGTTATCTCTTCCATCTAATAGATTTTAAAGAAATAATAAATATAACACTTGGTAGAATGTGGCCTCATATATTTTATTCTGTGAAAAGCTTACAGGCGAGGCAGTTGATGAGAAGGATATTACATTTTAGTAAAGAAAAAGGCAACGCATGGAATCAAAGAGAATTAAAGAGGCACAAAGAGAATTAAACAGACATACCACATCTCGTACGATAGGCAAAGTTTTCTTTCTGCGGAGATCAGGCATACTGTCAATGCCATAAAGTGCCCTTGCAGCCCTTAAAGGGGAAAGAAAAGCAATAATTTCAATGGGTAAGATGACTTCCTGTAAGAAAAAAATCCAGTGTTCATAGTATAAAGGCTATGAAAAATATTAAATGGATAGCACGGTTTTAAAATAATTCACAAAGCAGCAAAGATGCAGGATTCTAGGACTTTGTCCAGTGAGAAGAAAGAAGACTCTAGCTATCACACCTGTTGATCACTTGCCTTCTTGGATAGTTTCATATATTGACCCTTTAAGATATACATGGCCTGGTTGGACACATTGCTTTTACGTTAGCAACACAGAGGGGAGAATCAAAATTGTTAGACATATGGAACTTTGTACCTCCAGGAGGAAACAGAACCAAACCATTTTTGGTGCAAGCTTAGTCTGTCTGCAATGGTAAAGAAATCACCTTTATTATAAAAACAATATTTTGTGTGCTTCATCTTCACAGATTAAACTCAAAAATGGCATCTCAAGGAACCATGGACACATTTAAAATATTAGTGATTACCTTATACCAGAAGTCCCACTTATCTGAATTTATCCCAGACAAATGCACATAATTATCAAAATAATCGGTTGCATGAGGATGTTCATTGCAATTTTTTATAATAGCAACAAAATCTAAGTTACCTATGTATTTATCAATAGTATACTCATTGAATGAATTAATGGGAAGAATGCAATAATTAAAGCAGAAGAGATAATATATATGTATATAAAAATACTCATAATATTTTTGAATGAGAAAGGAAAGTTTACATATTAGTAAATTTAGTATATCTCATGTGTATGTTTATATATGCATAGATAATATCTAGAATAAACATGAAATTGATAACTATAGTTACCTCTGTGGAGTGAAATTGGGTAAGAGAAAGAAAAGATACTATGTTATAAATTTGATAATATTCAATGTTTTTTATAAGCATTCATCATTTCAAAATTAAATTTTTAAGATATATGAATATTTATGCTTCTTAAAAATGAGTTTGACACATTGAATTTGACATTTTATTGCATCAAATCTAGTCATTTTATAACACCAACAAGATAGCTAAAGTCACTGATGATCGAATCTCCTTATGCTCACTTGGACTACAAACCTCTTGCTGACCTCTTGCTCAGGGTCAGCTTATTCACCATGAACAACATGGTTTACGCCTCTGGGTGCTGGCTGGACAACCCTGTCATTGGAATAGGCTACAACAGCTCATGACAGGTTATCAACATTTTATAGTCCAGTCTTTCAGTGACAGAGAGATGGCCTCTGTGTTCTTGCTGCTTAGCTTAATAAACGACAACTTTTCATCTTATTGGATTTTTCTTAGTAGCCCTGGTCCTAACTCTCACACTTCCTTGACGCGTTGATGACTAGCATGGTAGTCTTAGTCAATTCACTAAATGCACCATACAATTCATGTCAAATAGTAATAAAAACAAAATGATAATAGCGATAAAATGGTAACAAATGAACAATAACACCACCATAACTTTATGTTTGTGAGGATCAAATGCAATAAGTGTGATAAAACCTTTGCAAATGTACACAAGGATGTCAACGATGAATTATTCTTAGTCGTGCCTTTCAACTAAAAGTTGCCTTCAGTTTAGATCATAGAATAAATAAAAGAAAGGAGTAAATGTGGAGCAGAGATCAAGAAAGATGAAAGAAGGAGAAAGGAAGGGAAGAGAATGTGTGCAGAAGGGAGAAGTGGCATTTAAAAGACCCTCTCCACAACAGATTCTATGATAGAGAAGCTAACATGGCTTCCCTAACTGCCCAGAATAATGGCAATTGGCACTTTTTTAGGTGAAGGGCTGTGATAGTCATAGTGAGTCCAAGCCCCCTCTCAGAAGCACACCAACTACTCCATCAGAGTAACTTACTTCCTTCCTGTGCTCTTTCCATATCCCTTCCCTCTCCCTGCCAATGCTTGTGTGACCCTCCCACATTCAAAACATCAAATACATGGGGACAATGGCTATGTGACTTGTTTCTTGAAGAATTTTTCCATTTCATTTGCTCCAATCTTAACGCTGTGAATCAAAGCAGTTTGTGTTTTCTCCTCTCTGTGAACAGTATTATAATAATAACGACCTAAGTGTACGGGAATAACTATCATTCCGCAATAGTACATGTTAATCATACTATCTCACTATCTCCAATTGTTTCGAAATGTTTTGACTCCTAAATAATGTGACTTTCATAGCTATGTAGAGAAACACGTTCAACTGAGATAATTAGCTGAGAAAGTGATTTATAGACTGCAAACTGTTATATAAATGAGTTGTATATTTTCTGCCTACTAGTAATCACTATTTTTTGCCTTTATGTGTTCCTTCTCGTGAAATTTAATTCAAATTTTCAGAGTGTACCCAGAATCTTGAGTCTTGAATCAGTTACACACATATATTTCCTTGGGCCTGACACTTCACTCCTATGCTTGTCTCACCAGAGCAGAGATATCCAAGGACGTAGGACAAATCTGAACAATAATGAGTCCAAATTAGAAAATGTGCATCCAAAATTTATCTCTGCCTCTTCTGAATTTGTCATTTAATTTACCAAACTTACATTTGGTAATATGGAAAACTGCAAGACAGTAAAAATGTTTTCTTAACCTTCATAAGTAGCCTCAAAAATGTTCTTTATCATGTTGTGTTTCCTCATACTTTTACATTTTAATTATTACCATAGGAAGTTTAGATAAATATACACTTCCGTGACCCTTCCATCAAGTAATAATGAAGAAAAGCTAGACTTTAATAAAAAAATTTCTGCCCTGCTGGCCTCATCTCACGATTAGAGAAGCACCTGATAAATACAGTGAAGGTCTATATAAATGCAAAATATTTTTGTAATATTTATCAAAAGGCTTCCTAGACAGGAGAGATCTCAGAGAGATTAAATAACAAGAATGGTGAAGACTTTTGGACCATTCCATATATACAACACTACGAACTGGGGCCTATAATTAATCTCATTTTACATTTAATAGAACTAAACAGTTTACCCAGGCCCAGATCATACAGCCAGTGTATGGCAGAGCTTGATTTCCACTGCAGGATTGTTTTACCTCAAACTTCATGTTCTTAATAGCCACCAGGTTTTTTTTTTTTTTTTTTTTTTGCTAGGAGGAAATAAGAGTCATGTACAAGTTGATCCAGGAGTGTTGCCAACATTCAGGTATTTTTTCAATGCATTTCAAGAGAGTATTATCTTCAGATCAAAAACTCTGTTCACTGTATAAAATAGCCCTAATCTTTCCCAAATGGTTTCTTTCCAGCTATTCACGTGTTCTCCCTAGGAAAAAGGAGCTTTTAGACTACAGGCATTATAGATGGGATAAAAAGGTGAGATCTATAAAAATAACTGAAAAATCAATGATCACAGAAAATTGACAAAATAGATATTATGTCAAAGGCTGAATTAAGGGAGATGTGGTCTAATTCAACATTTGTTCTATTAACATGGTTTTTATGCATAATATTTTAATTGAAAAATCATAATTGTATACATTTATGGGATACAATATGATATTTTGATATAGGCATACAATGTGAACTGATTAAATCAAGCTAATTAACATATTCATCAGCTCACTTATTTTTTTGTGGTGAGACCTTCAAAATTGACACTTAGTTAACATAGTTTTAATATTTCAATGGTTCTGTTTCTCAATTCTTTCCATAATAACATTAAAATGAGTTTACTGAATTTAATCAAATCTGAGATGTAAAAGACTATTGCTATGTACTTTGACTCAGATTCAGTTGTTACAAAATAAATATAAATTATACAAATAACATATATTCTGTAATTTGAAAACATCTGATATTTAGGTAGAGAAAATAAAAGCTGATTTTTACCGATTAAATACAGAATAGTTATTTTCATTCAAAATCGATCTGATAACCTATTGAATGTATAGAGATGGGAAAAGACTTCCAAGAAGGCACCAGGAGAGTATTGCATGAGAACTATCAAGCAGGTATATGATAAAAATGCTCCATAACACTAGTCATCATGAGAGGTAAAAAATAAACCCACAATGAGATATCACCTCACACATGTAAGAATGGCTATAATGAAAAAGACAAGATAACAAGCATTGGCAATGATATGAAGAAGAGTGAATACTGACACATTGTTGATGGGAATGTAGATTAGTACAGCCATTATGAAAAACAGCAAGGAGGTTCCTCAAAAAATTAAAAATGGAACTACCATAGGATCCATTTGATATATACCATTTGATAAATACTGGCTATATATAAAAAATGGAATCAATGTGTTGAAAAAATATTTGCATTCCTATGTTTATTGTCACATTATTCACAATAGCCAATACATGAAATCAACCTGTTCATCAATAGATAAACTGATAATGAAAATGTGGTAATATACACACAATGGAATACTATTTCTCCTTAAACAAGAATAAATTCTGACATTTGCAACAACATGAATGAACCTGGAGGATATGTTAAGTGAAACAAGCTGAACATAGACAAATACCGCATGATCTCACCCACATGTAGAATTTAAAAAGTTCATCTCCTTAGACAGTAGAATGATGGTTACCAAGGTGGTTGGAATCAAAGAAGAGGTTGGGGAGATGTTGGTCAAAGGATACAAAATTTTATTAAAAGAGGAGTAAGTTCAATAGATCCATTGTACAACATGGTGATTGCAGTTAATAACAATGTATTATTTTCCTAAAAAATGCTAAGAAAGTAGATGTTAAGTGATCTCATCACATAAATGAAAACTAGGTAAAGTATTGCATGTTAATTAGGCAGATTTAGTCATTCCACACTGTGTGTATATATATTTCAAAACTTAATATTGTATATGATAAATATATGATTCTGTCAATTTAAAATAATAACTAAAAAACAAATGGTAAGACAATTTTAAAAAAGAAAACTATCAACCAGATCTTCCAAAGGAATATCTTTCTGACTGGACAAAGGTGTACTATTTCCACAAGTGGATGTTGA